AAAACAACAACAACATGGGTGGGTGCTGCTAAAATAAACATTTAGATAGACATGTGAAATTGCAGATGAAAGAATCTTAGAACCAAAATCAGAATGAGAAACTGCTGTCACATCCAGCTGCCACATCAATGGATGACGAATGTGTTCTGAAAAGAGAAACTCGCAGCTCTGCAGATGACATGTACCAGAACTCCTAATGTCCACGTTGCTGCCAAACCCCTGATCGAGTGCTGCCAGAAGATCCAAAGCAATAATGCTGTAGGAAACTTTGATGGTCTGCAGATACCAAGCTGCGATGGTCCTTGCTAAAGCAACTTTATATCTTTTGAACCTATTGGCAGGACAAAGAATCTGTTTGATTTCCTTACTGAAGCTATCCACTGCAGGTAATAGCCAATGAACTGCTGTAAATCTAAGATGAGCAATTTCCTCTCCTCTTTAGTTTCAGTAACAGGAAAAAATACTGGAAGAGACCACTGCATTTTGAAATGGAGTTTGTAAAGGTTTTCAAGCAAGATTCCCATATCTTTCTCACATTTTTCTAATTGGTTTCAATTGAAAAAACGTGAGAATTCTTGGAGGGAGTTGTGTGAAAACCTTTATAATTAGACCCCTTAGTCTTCAAACTGAATAGGTACGAATGGAACCATGTTGTGGGAGGCAGTGCATTGCCAGCTTTTCTCTCTATTAAAGACATTTATTAAAATTCTTTATGTTTTTAAAAGGTTACAAATATGCACTTTGCACCTGCTCAGGTTGCACAGGGTTGGCTATTATACATTAATAGATGTCATGCATACTTTCTAAGTGGTCATGGTGTGGCAAACATACTGTGAGTGACAGGAAGAATAGAGTCAGTGCTGTCCTTTGCTGTAAGTATGCATCTGTGTATATATTCACACATGGTAGTGGTTATATGTGGTTAGGTACACATGTCTGAGCCTAGACACAGATATATTAAATCCAGGGATGGACATCTATCGCTAACTGTAGGTAATCATTGGATGTGCACATACATGCTGATACATGCCACAGCTTTAGCCCTTTTCAGCCTGTCATTCAGTTGTGCAGAGTAAGCGCGACGGTCAATAATCAGAATATCTGCAGGTATTTACAGTATAAATGCTATGCTATGGCCATTCAGGGCATTTGAACGAAGCCTAAGATTGGATAATAGCTGAGCTTACTGAGTAACCTGAGCCTGAGAAAAGGGCACCATTTTGTCGCAGGCAGTGCACTCAGTTGTTTTAACCTTTAAAAAACTGTGTCATAAAGAACTTTAATAAATGTTTTTAAGGGGAAAAAAAAACTGTGAGTCCACTTCTTGCCACAATATGGTGGCCTGCTTAGTAAGGCTGGCTTTTATCCAGTCTCATAAATCTATCATTTGGGGGAGCTGCCCCCCCCCTCCTGGGAAAAAACATTATCTACAACCTTAGTGCATCTGAGCATCTATGGATATGGAGGTTGAGCTATATAGGAATGCCCTAAGGCAGGCTTTCTCAACCATGGTGCCCTGGCACCCTGGAGTGCCTTAAGGTTTCTTCAGGGGTGCCTTGGGAAAATTTCTAAAAATTGTCCAAAACTTGTATACAAGCCAGAAGGTGGAACAAGCCTGCCATTTAGTTACACAAAGCCACAGGTTTCATTGTGCACCATTGCAGTCTTCTAGCTGCTAGCATCCTGACAACCAATGACATCATCAGTTGATAAGGTGGATGTCAGCTGCCTACACAGCATCCTTGTTTGATCCTCCCCTGCCCCTCTCCATCAGTGCTGGGGTCACGTTAACTCAGTGCTGCAGGAAAATTGAGGGGAGAAGAGAAACACTGGAATACTAGTCAGTACCAGTGTGCAAAAGTGTATTTGCTTTGGAAGAATAAATCACCTCTAATGTTGGGTGTTCTACATGTGTGGATGTTGCTGCATTATATAAAACTATTAAAATAGTTTTTCACATTTTAGAATGGGGTGCCCTTTTAAAATTATGGACAGTCTTGAAGCACCCTATTTTAGAATGTGCCTATTTTTGTGTGTGCCTACGAAATGGCATAAAACGTCAGTACCCTATATTTTCTATAGGTGACTCCTCATAAGGCCCTATAGGTCATCATTTTAGTGTTACGGAGGAGGTCTTCTGCTTGAATTATTGCACTCACTCAGCGATATGTGACATGTGTATTGCAATGATCATTTTCACACGTAGGCACTCTGACGTTTGCGTTTACATTCATTCACACATATATTTGGGCTGGGAGAGCCTCAAAATATTTTTTTTTGCGGGGGATGTTATGTGTTTGGGGATAACTTTAATTTTTTTGCAATAACAAAATAGTTTTTTAACTTTTCTTTTTCATCACATAGTTGACACAAAGTCCTTTATGTGATGATTTTTAGGTGACAAGTTCTCTTTATTGAGACATGCAGGGTCTAAAACAGCCTGCATGTCTCCTCTGGTCTCCACTAGATGTATTGCAATGCAGATCACATTGCAATACATGTATCCCCGGCTATTTCTAGCTGGGGAAAGTGACAGCCATGACCCGGAAGTGACGCCATACACGTATCCTTCCAAGTCCCTCTCTCTTCTCCACCCGCCAGACCCGCCATGGCACTCACTGGGCTCGGGCAAGCGGGGTTCCAGATGCATGGCCCTGTGCACAAGGGGGGACACTGGTACCAGGGGCAGCCATCCAACTGCTTCCACCTGCAGCCACTGGATTGTGTATAAAAACCCCTGCTGTCAGGCCCATATGACATATGGACCTGTGGTGAAAGGGTTAAAGGAAAAGCAGGGCAAGCCTGTGCTACTAAAAAACAGCCATGGTAAAAAAAATACCTAGGCTGAAGTCACCTTCAGTAAGTTCTGTATATCAAAATAATTTGTAAATAAACGGATCGAGGTAACCAGATTTCTGTGCAAATATTGACTTCCTGCAAAAATCAAGATTTTCCACCCTTGCAAGCACTCAAAGCCTTTAATGTGATCGGTCTCACTGACCATTAGGTAAACCTTCGAGATGGAGGGGGCCAAGATTAACCCTAAAAGGAAAGTTAAAATGTTGATATTATTTTTGGCCTATGTCTCTAGGTCTACTGATTATCTTGACATGCAGTTTAAACAATTCAAACTGTGCCTATAAGGAAAAATGACTTAAAACAAAACTCCAAGCAAAATCTTCTTTACATGTCCTTGTTGCTGATTTCCTACCTTCACTGAATATGTCATCCATCTTTTGGTTCACCAAGTAGTTGCTCTGAAATAGCCTATTCATTTTCAAATCAAACGTTAATTCTCTTTAGTTTCCTGTTTCTAAGACTGGTGGCTGCTATGCCTCCTATTCCCCAAACCACTGATCTTGGCACATCTCTTCTGTAGTTGATGGGAACTGTAGTTTCCTTTTACTGCAGAGAGAGAGGAGAGGATATGATGTAATCTTTGCTGTTACACCTCCTTGGCAAAGTATATGCTTTTATCTTTTGAATTACAGAGATGAGGTCATGAAAATTCAATTAGACTTTTCTCCTAAATGGTAAGGATTTTCAAACTTTCATTAACTGTTTAGTGTTTTGTGTAAGGGGGTGTACTAATGGGTGATTTTTTTTGCCTAGAGTTCTTAGGTCTCTGCTTGTGCAGTTTTCTATCATATGCACATTTTGAATTGTCCAGGTTTGCGGTAGGTTTACTTTAACAAAGATAGGAACTACATACACACTATTTTTATATGGAATGGTTACATATATTTAACAACCATTAACATTTTTTAGGATTGCTCACCGTTAATTGTAAAATGTAGCATAACAATTCTTTCCCTTTAAATGGTTAATGATAAGTGTTGTTATAGAAACTAATCGTATTCTGTTGCTAATTCTGTCTCATAGCAACGACAGCATAACTATATGACCTAGAAAATCCCTAATTTATGTATGAATAAAAGACACATGGATAGAGCCGCTGCTCTGGCAAATGTAAGGTACGCCTGAGGGTTAGCCTGTCCTATGCGCTTACATTGTGCTGTCCAAGGTGCTGAACTATACAAGTAACTTTTTTTTTGTAACTAAAGTTTGTAATTTTAACCTAAGTACGCTTATCTTGCTTACTTTGTATAACAAAAAAGATATTTGGTTTACAAGTATTGCACTGTATTTTCAATCTGCCTTCTACACATTCAAGCTGCTAAATAGTAAATATTGACATACAGTATAGTACCATATTTGGATTGTACAGTATTACCAAAATGAAATGTATGTCAAAATTTAGAAAGCAAACAATATTTCTTTAGCAGGTAATTGTTTTTATATGTAAATAGTTTTTATGCACTTATATAAATTCTATCAGTGATCTATAACTGTCAGCTTAAATTTCACTGAAAATATATTAATGTAAATGTGTTGTATTGTATGTAGTAATTTTGCAACTTACGAAACATAACAAAATGCACTAAAGCCTGTCTCTGAACAGCTAAACTCACATGTAAAATATATACATAGGAGCAATTTTCCTGCCAATGGATTTGAATTTATGTCTACTTAAACTAGGTTCACATGCAGTATATGCTGGTGCAGGAATGCATGTGAGCTGCACATATTCCCAAACTTGCAAGTAAACCATGCTGCTGTTTAGCAGATGCTCAGGGGCGACATTAATTCTTAAAGGCATCCTCACACATCTGAAAATGCAGCTTTTGATTTCTGTATGGGTGCAACTTTAACCACTTGCCTACCGGGCACTTTTACCCCCTTCCTGCCCAGGCCAATTTTCAGCTTTCAGAGCTGTTGCACTTTGAATGACAATTGTGCGGTGGTATTTAATCACCACTGGGTTTTTTTATTTTTTGCTAAACAAGTAAAAAAACACTGAAAATTTTGAAAAAACATTTTTTTCTTAGTTTCTGTTATAAAATTTTTTAAATAAGTAATTATTCTTCTTCACTGATGTGCACTAGTGAGGCTGCAGTGACGGCCACTGATAGGCTGCACTGATGGGCATTGATAAGCGGCACTGATGGGCATTGTAAGGCATCACTGGTGGGCATTGATAGGCATCACTGATGGGCATTAAAAGGAGGCACTCATATATGGCACTGATAGGCGGCACTGATTGGAACTGTTAGGCGGCACTGATGGGCAGCACTGATGGACAGCACTGATAGGTGTCACTGACTGATAATGATAGATGGCACCGACTGGCACTGATAGGCAGCACTGACTGGCACTGATAGGCGGCACTGATAGGTGGCAATGACTGGCACTGATAGTCAGCACTGACTGGCACTAATAGGCAGCACTGAAAGGCAGCTCTGATAGGCACAGATATGTGGCATTGATGTGCACTGATATGTGGCATTGATTTGTACTGATGGGAACTGGTATGTGGCCTTAATGGGCACTGACAGGTGGCAATTATGGGCATTGACAGGTGGTACTGATGGGGCTACACTGATCATCAGGGCACTGATCATCCATGCCCTGATGATCTGTGTACATGTCCCCTCTGAGGAATGCCAGTTACTGGCTCTCCTCTCCTCACGTGCTGTCAGTATGAGGAGAGAACTGCCGATAACCAGAATTTCCTATTTACATGCGATCAACTGTGATTGGACACAGCTGAACACATGATAGATGAGCAGTTAGAGTGGGAGGACATCATGTGACGTCCTCCCAGAACAAGAGAACCGCCACCCTTCCATCGTTTCCTTATAAGGCGAGAGGGAGATGGTTAAAGAGGTGCACAGACATTATTTTTCTCCATTTCCCAGAGATACAGCAGCCCATTTGCATGAATGGGCTGCTGTGCCCACACAAATGCGAGCCACACCAATTACAGAGGTGTGGACTTAGCCTTAGTCCTTAGATTGGGTGAACTAAGGCTCAGGCCAAACTCACAGAAAATTGCCAAATGACAGCAGACAGCTGTCCCAATCAGCTGAAGTCCCAGAATTTGCCAGCCCATAGCCATCTTAGATCACTGACATCACCAGTATCCCTGTGTCTTTGTCACATGTGGTTGTAGGGTGTGGAATTCCACTGCCATAGCTGACTGGGATGACATCCTGCTGTCATGCGTTCAGTTCAGCTCATACCTTAGCTCATTTCTAGGCCTGAGATTTAGAGTACACAGTTTGAGCTTTGTTGTACAGGATATTGCAAGAGACAGATACTTACACTAGTTGGGTTAAATGTACATTTAATTATTTAATAATGAATACCTAGCCACATTAAAGTGGTATTAACTCAAAAGCAAACTTTTATTATATTGCAGCTCACCAATTCTTAGATGTGATTGCTTCATTTGTTTTCTTTTTTAGGATTTCTTTCCTTTTTTTCACCTTGGTGATCCAGCCAGCAAGTTTGCTGTTTTTCAACAGAAGCTCTCCTGCAAATGTAGTTTACATTGATCAGCTATTATTTATTTATGTAAAATATTCATCCCAAAAGAAAAAACACCCTTGATGACCACTCCCCCAGACTGACATGCTGCTGCTATCCAAAGGTGCTACTGTGCTCCTTCATTAGCGGGGGCACTCTAAAGGAGTTATGTTACTGGTCAAATAACCAAGTGAAAACAGGAAGGAAAAGAAACAGCCTAAAAAAAAAAATTATACAGCCACCACATGCAAGGAATGGTAAGCTGTAATATCCCTGCTTAAATGTATATTTGCCTTGAGTACAGCTTTAGCAAATGAAGGTAACAGGCTGATAACCTTTTTGCAACTTCATAAGACAAGTTAACCTTATTTGGCAAAAAATGGAGTGGGGGGAGCAAGAGTTATGCAGCCTCCACTGCTGTACTGATGGAAGCCCAAACCCTCCCTCAATAATTTTAGTATTAAAGGTGGCTGAAAAAATGCAGTCTTGGCTTACATCATATTGTCACTAAACAAATAAGCATGTTTTTATTATAGTTATATATAATCATTTATTTCTGTGGAACTGACTTCAACTGATTTCAAAAGTGATTACAATGGACAATTTATTTTAACATATTCTATGTGTTTCATTAAAAAAAATGTTCAGGTCAAGAAAATAATATGGGTCACTGAGCAGTAAGTCTTATTTTCTCTGTGTGGGCTGGATCAAAAAGCATGTAAGGATTTTTTTTTTTCAAATTTCTGCTTCTTCTTAGCACTTTTGCTGAAACTACTACTCAATGATCTCCTTGATAGAGTAATCAATGTCCCCTAAAAAAGGTACTTCGCCTTTCACTTCTTTGCACTCTCTGAGAATACTCCAGTCACCTCTAGGTGAAAACATTTTTGTGAATCTTTGCCAAATCAATTAAAGTGATTCTAAAGAAAAAAATATCAAACATGCAATACTAACCTGCTCTGTGCAATGGTTGTGCACAGAGCAGCCCTAATCCTCTTCTTTTAGGGTCCCATGCTGGTGTTCTTGACTCTTCTTCCCTGCCAAGTGCCCCCTAGCATGCTGCTTGCTATGGGGGCATTCATGCAGGCTCACTCCCGAGACACAGTCTGTGTGTCCATACACACAGAGGGCTGCTCAACCCCACCTCCCACTCTCTCCTCACTGGTCCGCTCCAATGAGAAGAGAGAGACCCAGGAAAGCTGCTGCTCTTGTGCACATTGCTGGATAAAGTTCGGGATCAGGGAAGTATTGGGGGGGGGGGGGGGGGTCCTGGTTGCAGAAGGTTTTTTTTATCCTAATGCATAGAATATTAAGTGAAATTGCACAAGCAGATGTTATCTTCAGTGAAAATTGAAAGAAAAATAGAGGATACATACATATTGGCTACTAAATTTATCTGCAATTTTCAAGAATTTTTGCAAAACCGAATCTTGTTCCTTCACCCTCCTGAGTCTTTATCTGTCTTTTAATGTGAATGGCCTGCTGACTGGCTTTGAAGGATTGGGCGGTGGGATAAGGTGGGTCTAAGCACATCTTGTACAGTAAAAGTTAAAATTAACTTCAGCCTGCTATGTATCTAGTTCTACTGGTCTTGTAGCCTGTTTCTGCTTCTTCACTGCCCAATCACAGGCTGGGGACAGGGAAGGGACCTTGCTGCTTTGCTTTACTTCAGCAAAGAAAAGTTAGATCAAAGTGTAAATCTCAGGCTTATGTGGACAGATATGCAAATCCTTTGTCAGGTCAAAGAGCGCCCATATATATATATATATATATATATATATATATATATACAGTTGTGTTCAAAATAATAGCAGTTTGTTGAAAAAAGTGAATAAAGCTGAAAATCCTTCTATTAGCTTTGATTTCCATACACTCAAATGCATTGGGAACACTACACATTCTATGCCAAATCAAAAAATGAAGAAAAATATATCAAATTTGTGTTGTTCCTCTAAAAAAATTGAAGAAAAGTGAATATTAGACTGTTCAACAACTAGCAAACTTCTTTACAAACTCAAACATTCACTATATAAACTGAAAAATGTTTGAAGATTTTGCTTTCCTTTGAATCACTTAATTAATATTTAGTTGTATAAGCACTGTTTCTGAGAACTGCTGTACATCTGTGTTGCATGGAGTCAACCAACTTCTGGCACCTGTGAACAGGTAGTCCAGCCCAGGATGATTGGACTACATTCCAGAGTTCTTCTCTATTTCTTGGTTTCTCCTCAGAAACTGCATTTTTGATGTCACCCCACAAGTTTTCTATTGGATTAAGATCCAGGGATTGGGCTGGCCACTCCATAACATCAATCTTGTTGGTCTGGAACCAAGATGTTGCACGTTCACTGGTGTGTTTGGGGTCGGTGTCTTGTTGGAACACCCATTTCAAGGGCATTTCCTCTTCAGCATAAGGCAGCATGACCTCTTCAAGTATTCTGATGTATTCAAACTGATCCATAATCCCTGGTATGCGATAAATAGGCCCAACACCGTAGTATGAGAAACATCCCCATATCATGATGCTTGTGCAACCATGCTTCACTGTCTTCACAGAGTACTGTGGCTTGAATTCAGTGTTTGAGGGGGGGGGGGGGTCGTCTGACAAACTGTCACAACGCAAATTTTAAGAAAAGTGAATATTAGACTGTTTAAAAAAAAATAGCAGTGTTTATATAGTGAATGTTTGAGGTTGTAGAGAAGAATACAAACTGAAAAATGTTTGAAGATTTTGCTTTCCTTTGGAATCAATTATTATTTTAGTTGTATAAGCACTGTTTCTGCGAACTGCTGTACATCTGTGTTTCATGGAGTCAACCAACTTCTGGCACCTGTGAACAAGTATTCCAGCCCAGGATGATTGGACTACATTGCAGTTCTTCTCCATTTCTTGGTTTTGCCTCAAACTGCATTTTTGATGTCACCCCACAAGTTTTCTATTGGATTAAGATCCAGGGATTGGGCTGGCCACTCCATAACGTCAATCTTGTTGGTCTGGAACCAAGATGTTGCACGTTTACTGGTGTGTTTGGGGTCGTTGTCTTGTTGGAACACCCATTTCAAGGGCATTTCCTCTTCAGCATAAGGCAGCGTGACCTCTTCAAGTATTCTGATGTATTCAAACTGATCCATGATCCCTGGTATGCGATAAATAGGCCCCAACACCGTAGTATGAGAAACATCCCCATATCATGATGCTTGCGCAACCATGCTTCACTGTCTTCACAGTGTACTGTGGCTTGAATTCAGTGTTTGGGGGTCGTCTGACAAACTGTCTCCGGCCACTAGACCCAAAAAGAACAATCTTACTTTCATCAGTCCACAAAATGTTGCGCCATTTCTCTTTAGGCCAGTCAATGTGCTCTTTGGCAAATTGTAACCTTTTCAGCATGTTTTTTTTTCAACAGTGGGACTTTGCGGGGGCTTCTTGCAGATAGCTAATTACAACAAATGTGCTTTTTTGTTAAATATCCATAATACTCTGTGTACTAGATTCAATTTTGCATTGTGACAGAATTCTGTAAAACAATAATAATATTAAAAATCTTACCATATAATATAACTCTGGCCTATAGGTTTGGATAAATCCCTATTACTCACTGTTGAAATGCATTCTTCTAACTCCTGCTGATGATATCAGCCACAAAAAGTACACAAATCAAAAGAGAAATACAAAGGCTGCTATTGTTGACCCCCTTCTAAGAATTCAATTCATCTGAGTCATTGACCTGGAAAAACATTGCACTCTCTGAAATACCCTTTTATTAATTATAATCCATAAAAGCAACAAATGACACTTATTACATACTTATATGATAAACTAAATAGGTTCCTTATGTAAGCAATGTTCTTGTGCCTCTCCTGTGTAAAGCTATATTAAGACATAAGTTCAAAGCACATGGCTTTTATGTTCAGATGTTGCCATGAAGCCTA